ACGGTTCTGCGTGGACTATCGCAGGGTGAATGACGTGTCACGGTTCGATGCCTACCCAATGCCCCGGGTCGACGAACTCCTGGACCGGCTAGGCACTGCACGTTTTTTCACGACACTGGATTTAACCAAGGGCTACTGGCAGATTCCTCTGTCACCAGAGTCCAAGGAGAAAACAGCATTCTCCACCCCGTACGGTTTGTACCAATTTACCACACTTCCCTTCGGGCTGTTTGGGGCCCCGGCCACGTTTCAGCGTCTCATGGATCGGGTGCTGCGTCCGCACGCTGCATATGCTGCCGCCTACCTGGACGACGTTATTATCCACAGCACCACCTGGGCGGAGCATGTGCGGCAGGTGGGCGCGGTGCTAGAGGCGCTGGGACGGACGGGGCTCACCCCCAACCCGGGGTGTGTGCAATTGGACGGGTGGAGGTACGGTATTTGGCGTACCACTTGGGGGGCGGGCAGGTGCGCCCTCAGGTGGACAAGACGGCAGCTATCGCGGGCTGCCCGCGGCCCAAGACAAAAAAAGAGGTGAGGCGGTTCTTGGGGCTGGCAGGGTATTACAGGCGGTTCATCCCCAGCATCGCGGACCTCACCAGCCCCTTGACCGACCTCACCTGGAAAGGTGCGTCAGATCCGGTCCAGTGGTCGGAGCAGTGCCAGCAGGCGTTTGAGAAGGTAAAGCAGGCTCTCTGTGGGGAACCACTCCTTCATACTCCTAACTTCTCTCTCCCCTTTATCCTGCAGACCGATGCGTCGAACAGGGGGCTGGGGGCCGTTTTGTCCCAGGAGGTGGGGGGGGTGGACCGCCCCGTGGTGTACATCAGCAGGAAAGGTCTGCGAGGGAGGCCAGATACAGCACAGTGGAAAAGGAGTGCCTGGCCATCCGGTGGGCGGTCGACTCCCTACGCTACTACCTCCTGGGACGCTCATTTACCCTCTGTTCGGACCACGCCCCGCTCCAATGGCTCCACTGCATGAAAGATGCCAACGCCCGGATCACTCGGTGGTATATGGCTCTACAGCCTTTTAATTTCAAGGTGGTCCATAGGCCCGGGGGCGCAGATGGTTTTGGCAGACTTCCTCTCCCGCCCTCTCGAGGGCGAGGGGGGGAGTAGGTTCGGCCGGATGGCTCCCCGGCCTAAGTCGGGCGGTGGGGGTATGTGGTGGCGGGCGTGGTTTGGCTTGGCTGCAGAGGGGACGGAGAAGGGAGTGGTTTGGGGAACGGTGCATAACGAGGCATATTCAGCCTCAGCTGAGATTAATCAGTGTGTGTGTTTGTTCTGCCTTGAAGTAGGAGAGATCCGGTGACAGCGAGAGGGCTGAGCAGACGAGGAGGCTGGAACCGGCTGTCCATGATTGTTGGGAACAGTAAAATAAAGTGTAAAATGGAACCAACCGCTGCATTCTCGTCATTCCGAGACCCCCCCGTAGGACGAACCCGTCACAGTTTCCATCTCCCAAGACCCTTGCATATTTCACTTCTCCTATTAGTGCTCCCATTATTCTGGTCAGTTTTAATAGGTCCATCTTCCGAACTCCTCCTTCTCCTTCAAATTGTAGCACTACATTTAGCGTTTTTTCATTTGGCTCCCCTTCTTCCTTTGCTTCACTCTCCGTTTCACCTAGACTAGCTTCCCTCTTTTGAGCACCTTCTTCCCAGCCTTTGTCCACTCACTCTCCTACCCTACTCGTGTCTCTTCCTCACTTAGCTCCATGCTATCACTATATCCTTCTCTCCCAGCCATCCTCACCAACAAGGACTAGCAGCCCTTGCCTGCGTCTTACTCTTGCGCTCTTACTCGTTTGTTTTCCCCCGCCACCTGTAGCTTAGACGTCTGTATGTTTCACTCTCTCCCCTATTCACCAAAACGCTCACTGCGCCGGAGCAGGAGCAGGCGCAGGCGTCACTCATCCCGAGCTCAGCGTCGTCTGACTGCGAAAGCGCTAATTAGACAAAGTGACTGTCTGAGGATCATGCTTTTGTGCTGACAGTGCTGATGAATTAGTGACGTGCAGGTGCGGGTGATTAGAACTCTGGTGACAGAAATCTCTGTGATTATGTGGTGGTGAAGCCTGGTTGGTCCCTGACAGAAGCCACAGACTACACACGGAGCTTCGTCCGGTGCTTTGGGCCCCGGGTGGATTGGCTGACAAGACTGCGTTCCCCCTTGAAGATTTCCCACACTTTCAAACCGTAACTTATCCCTGACGAATTGCATATTATCTCAAACTTATGTGTTGTGGTAACTGTTCATTAGCAGGCAAGCACAGCTGTTTGTATAGTGAAATGCTGTGACTGTGTCCGCATGCAGGGTTACAATACACTTTATACATTCCGTGCTGCATACTTTTATTTGTAAGTTATGCTTTAAATTATCATAATTGTTCAAACGAGCAGAGACCTAACGGATGAAATTCCTCCAGGTTAATCACCACATGAGTTGAACTTAAAAAGATGCAGAGTGAACTCTAGCACAGTGAAACAAGATTTCAGCAAACATTTTTTCTTGTTAGCTAGATGATAATGATAATGAATATTGAACAACAGTCAAGTCATGCCCTCAAACCTAAAAAAGAAATCTGGCTTGAATTTAAATCAAACATCATAACCAAACCTTTTTAACAAGAAATGAAGGCAATGGTCTACAGAGGAAACCATAAAGTGCACCTTTGGATTGATGGGAAAAACAACAATGGATGGAAATGCTATCAACCCTTCTTGTCCATCCAGAATGTATGAATAGTTACTTTTGGTGCTTCCAGATTTAAACCATTTGGGAGCATGCCGATTCACTAACAGCACACAGAGCGTTGGGATGAAGGAACTCCAGGTAGACAGTTGCTACTCGATAACATGATATTGATGTCGGCTGCCATGTGTCCAATAGGGCACTAGAATTGGTTAACTCACTTGACACGATTGCCCCCATGTGGACACGAGTGTGCAATTATTTCAGCAGGTTTTTTTCTTCAGTTGATGATTCAAATATTTATGAATAGAAATGTGACAACATTTTTTGGCAAATATACACACCGAGGGATAGTCTGGCTGCTTTTGACACCAACATTTGAGTTTGGGCCTTGAATAAACGATTTGTCAACACATTCAGCTGATGCATCATAGAAAAAAGTCACATGTTTAAGGATGGAGTCGTTGGTGTACACTCTGCATAGCTGACGCATGTGTGTGCATGTCTCTCTACGAAGACTCCGATCACTAACCCCTCAGGTCCAAGAATAAGGTTTGTTGTGGCCCTCGAAGGGCTGGCTGGCGATGGTCAGCGTGCCGAACCACGGCCCCAGAGAGCCTCCTGGAGGGGCCTCAAAAGACGTCAGGATGTTTTGGGTCTTTTTGGGGAGAATGGCTTCCATCTCTTTAACTGTGAAACAAGGGCAGTGTAGACAATGGGAAAGGATGCAAATCCCCTGCAGCAGCAGCTGAACAAGGATGCCGCCCTCGAGCAGCTGCAGCGGGAGTCAAAAGAACAGGCCGGGGAGCATGAACACAGCAGTACTTCCTACGGATAGTCAGTAAATTTAGTCATATTAGAAGACCGATAATAGTTAACTTAAAGCAGCAGTATAAGGGTGGGATCCTGTAGTCCTTAGATCTGGTGTATTTGCTACATTTGACGTACTTTTTGAACTACGCATTTTGTTAAAGCCAAACCGACTTGGAGAGACAGCTGCTGCAGATCCCAAAACCAGCAGATTACTTACAGGAGCAGCTGAATGAGAAGGATGCCGCACTCGAACCAGCTGCAGCAGGATCTACAAGCGCAGACCAGGAAGAATAACAAGCTGCAGGAGGACTGACAGTATGTTCAACATTCTGGCAATTAGGCGATTCATTCAGTGGACAATAAAAAAGCCACTCTCTGGATTCTTGTTGAAATGTAAACGTTTTATATTCAGTATTCAGTGCTACACCTGCTAGATGAGAAGAACAAACTTGAGGATATTGTACAAAGTAACTAGAAGTTCCGCCCCCCATAATTTCTTGGAATTATTGTTGGGTCTGCAGATTTTTGGGATATTTCTATTTAGAATGAATGTTTGAATCCTAAATGATGACTATTCAAACTGAATAACTTACTTACTGTCAGTTTCTTTTCAAAAAGGTGATGGAAAGATAATACAGGGAGGATGACCGTGGACGCAAAAATACATTCTAAAATAGCCCTGTACATAGAGAACACTCAGATGTCCACATCTGACGAAATACAAGACGTCCCGACTATCCAGGCCGGTTTGATGTGGTTCTAGCCTCCCTTGGCACAACAGACTTCTCAACCGGCAGACACCAACAACACCCAGTACTGGGAGGTGTTGGGAGCTGGAAGGCTTGTTACTACCACTATGGGGTGGCCAGTGAATCCAACAAATGGTTTCTGGACTGTTGTCCTGAACAAACGGCGTCGGCCGTAGCAGTAAAGTTTTTAGATTGGTTGAGACGCAACCACTCAGAATTCTGCTGAACCACAAAAGGGTATTTTATTATCCTTTTATCAATTTGTTCACTGCGGATCTTGAAAGTAAGACATCAAAAGTATCCTTTTCTCTTGGATTGGTTGGCAGGATAAAATGAACATTTTGTTGTCTGAATGTTTTGTTGTCTGTCAAATCCATGCATCTCGAAATACAATTTATTGGATTTACAGTAAGCTGTAAATTAGATGCATATAAGTTCATATATATTGCTGTTATGGCTGCTGCATGTAAGAAAACAACAACAAATGTACAATGAGGCATTTCATTTTTTATGATAAAATTGGTCTTCTTGTCCTTTTCATTCTGTAACTGGGCTCAGTCCAGAAAAATGTACCCATTGAGTATAGTTATGTTACAGTTAGTTTTTAAACCATGACGGAAGCACTAAAAAGTTCTGAACTAAACTAAAACGTTTGTTTGTTTTTGTGTGTGAGAGAGAAAGCCAGAGAGAGAGTAATGCAACCCCTCAGAAACTGTATGACACTGAATAAAAACAACTTATATTGAATGGGTTCTTATAATGAAATGTTTTATCTGCAACAATAAATCCAATCACAATTACACAGACATTTCTCTCAAGAGACCCACCTCTGTTTCAGTACACATTTCCAAACAAACATCCGCTCTTTTAACAATTGTCATTATAACCCCTCCTTTTCCATCACAATACAAGCATTAGTCAGTCTCGTCCTGATGTACCGGCTACGCTCCTGTAAAAGTGTCCCACAAAAACAGGGTCCTGCTCTTCCAGTATATGCAGGAAATGATTCCTCTCCTCCTCTCCCCAAGACTCAAACCACTGACTCCACAAGCGCAGCTGGCATTCGTAGATGTTTGGTAGCCTGTCTTTAACCTTGCAGATGTACAAAAAAAAAGGAGAAAAGCAGCGGTTAAATGTTTGGACATGACCGAACATCCCTTCACGGGCCGTGTGTTTTAGAAGTGACAGAGCAGAAGGTACCTCGAGAGTGCTGAGGGAATCCAGGAGGGTGCACACTTTCCCAGGTACAGCTTTCCCCAGAAGGTCCTGCAAGAACCGCTCCCTCTGAGCGGCGTTCCAGCCCTGGAACCAGCTCAGGACGCACCGCTGCTCCTGGAGGCTCACATAGGAGATGGGCTCCGGCTCTCTGAGCCGACCCGCACTCGGAGGAGCGCAGGACAGGTTCCCAAGGCTGGGAGGGCTGTATACACCCTGCGGAGCCGGTGGAAAGTCACCGGGGCTCGGGGTCGTGCTTCCGGTCCAGTGATGTGTTGCCATGGTCGGGGATCCCTCTGCTGGACCCCTGAGCCTGGAGTTGAGCACGTCTGTGGCTGCGAGTCTTCCGCCGTCAATGGGATGCGGTTGCTGCTGATTTAAGCCCTGACTGACGTGATTGAACCACGACATCTTTGCAAAGACAGGATCGTTGCAACCTGAGAAAAGTCCGCTATTGCGTTAAGTTAATCAGCTGTGCCAGCTGCACAGAGAGAGACCCCTTAAGGTCTGGGTGGTGTTAACATGTAGCTTAGCCTAAATACTACTAACGAAGTCCGAATTCAGGGTCGCAATGAACTGCTCTTAACATTAATGATTGCGAGTGTCCGACCTTTTTCAAACGTGAATCACCTTATTGCCGGTAAATACTAAAGGTAGTGAATTTGAATGAGCGCTGCTTTAACCTCTCTGGCAAATACATACAGGAAGACTGTGCAGTTAACTAATTAGCCTCGGTGTGTAGGACATCAAGCATGCGCACATTTTGCGCAGAGTTTATTGTCGGTGAAATAAAACATAACAAACATGAAAATGGTAATTTGCTTTACTATATGCAATAGATTCAACAGTACTGTCAGTCAACGCGGTGTGTTGTGGGCATCATGTTTTGATAAACGTTACATTTCGATGATATATGACGAGGGGAAGTCGTCGTCGGTGACGCTGGGTGGAGGAAGGCGTTGCTCGTCGCTCTCGCTGGGAACGGACTAGAGGAACGGAAAATGGCGGACCTCGAAGACGTTACGCTGGACGGGAGACCGCTCCAGTCCCTTCGAGTAGCGGATTTAAAAGCTGCTCTTGAGGAGAGAGGACTTTCGAAAAGTGGGCAGAAGAATGCTCTCGTTAAAAGACTCAAAGGGGTGAGTTCTGCTGTGCAATTCGGGGCCACGGGTGCCGTGAGCTAACGTTAAGGATGAGACGGGCTGACGTTCGCTCGAGGGCCGACGACGGAGTGTCGCTACTGCCGAGCAGCGTAGTAGAGTTATCGAGGTTAACGACCATTAGCCGAATGAGAATTTGCGTCTTTTCCCACTGCGCTGTCGTCGAATTGTGTTTTTGCCGTGCGCATTTATATCAACCGTAACACTACGGGTAGTTCAATCAACTTGGTGTGTAATTTCAAAGTGTGTCGGCGATGTGTTGTCCTGTTAGCTCGTTAGCTCTCCCGCTAACACTGTGCTGTGAGCTGTGGCCTGGTTTGCTGCTAGCTATGAAACCGTTAACGATGTCGGTCCCGAGGGTGATGTTCTAATTAACGTTACGCGTGTTTAGTTGGCAGGTTTACGTGGCACACGTTTTTTCAGCCGCACAACTATTATCCGGTAACTCCCGAGCATCTATTTAATGTGAATGTAATGTCATCAAATAGGCCGATTTTACCGTTTTCCGTCCAACTTAGCAATGGTTTTGACCTACAAAGGATCAAAGGCATTTTGTCTGCACATGTCCCGCACGAGCCAGTTTGTTTACATTGTGACAGTTATTCAGTCATATCTGCCTCCCAGTGAGTTGGAACATTCTTCTTGTTATTAAGCGGGCAACTAGGTTAGTTACCATTTGTCCTCCGAGTAGTGCCATGGTAACCGCAAGTGGTGTTTACATGGTGTGCACCGTGAGTGAGAGCATAGCGGGAGGGATGCTGCGTGGCTAGTTGATGGATGAGAAGTGTTTTATCGAAGTTGTGTGAAATTTAAACCAAGTCAGGTCAAGCTTTGGCTTGCATCTCTGTCTTGCCAACATCATTCTCAATCTGGTCTGCTGACCATTCATGCTGGTCTGAATGGTTCTTATCACTCTTATGGTGTTGATTTTGACCAGGGGACTTTCCTGATCACCGGAAATTTCACCACCAAGTTTCTAGTTTATTTCTATCAAACACTTAATCAAAGGCAACACTCTCCAAACTAGAAATTATTAAAGGCATTTTTGCTAGCTCCACCGATGGACAGTTGCGCTCAAAAGATTCTAAAGGACGGTCATGATGAAAAGGATTACTGAATTCAGTACACAGTAATTAGGTTGTCATGAATTCCATACTAACTATCAAGCATGTCTGCATGTTATTGACATTGCTTGAAATGTTTCTTGTTCTATTAACAGGCACTCATGCTTGAGAATCTTCAGAGGACCTCCACTGCTAACATTGGACTGCAGCCAAACTCACAGGTAAGTGTCTCAAAGGTGCCTACATTTTTGCATAAACTGCCGAAGCCTCTTCGCCTACAAAAAAGAAGTTGGCAAAAATTGAGTTTAAGAGAAACTATTTGCATTTGCACAATATTCAGAAATATCTGCAGAAAAGTATATGCAATTGGCCTTGATGGAACCCATTCAACCTCATTTTAATGGTCTCTGTCCAGATTGGTGAGGAAATGAGCCAGAACAGCTTTATCAAGCAGTATCTGGCTAAGCAACAGGAGCTTCTGAGGCAGCGGCTGGAAAGAGAGGCCCGCGAAGCATACGACACAAATGGTAAGTTTCGAAAGAATCCTCCACTGCCACAAGCCCATTATAATATATACGTGTAAAATATTTTGATGATTTATATTTGTATCTCTTTTTTTCATACAGAGCCAGAGGACCACACAGAAGTCAATAACAGTACATCATGCCCTCCTCAAGCCCAGGTCAGACATCTCTTTATTTTCTTTCTTTTTTCTTATTACATTTGCATATCTTTTGCTGTTGAGATAAATATTAGGGAGCACAAATAATCTCATTTCCACATTTGAAGGGAGCTAGTAAGAATGGTTCCCGATCCTTTACTAAGACAAGTGATATATTGCGACGCAAAATAATCCTCACCTCCCTTTCTGTCTCCATCAGGAGGCCACGCCAGGATTGGCTGAGCAGCACAAGCCGCCCGGCCCGTCTGGTGTCGACAATTTGTTTAGTGCAGTGAATAAGGAAGAGGGCAACAGGAACCAGGAGGCTGAAATGCCCGGTCCTCCCGCTTCTGGCTCTATGGCTGTAGGCGTCCCTGACGGCGAGCATCGGCCAGAGAAGGGGTCTGCCTCCAAAGAAGCCCCTTCAGACAGCGACGACGACGATAGTGAGGATGGCGAGGAGGATGGGGGCGATGACGACGATTGGGAAAGCGGCACTCGGAGGAGAAGCCACAGAGAGCCGGCCAGAGCGCCCACAACCAGAGAGCGGTCCGGAGCCCCCTGTCAACCCCCGCAGCAACACATGCCCTCCCTTTTGTCCCCTCAACTCCGCCAGCCAACTCCTCCTCCCTCCCCACCCCCAGAGCTGTCTTTCCCACTGCCTGACACCCCGAAACAGAGCCCCCCGAGTCCAGATGTAGCCCAAGCCAGGCGCTCATCGAGCACCTCCAGCTCTGGGTCCTCCAGCAGCGGCAGCCGCAGTAGCAGCCCAGAGCCCCAGAGAAGTGGGCATGCCGAGCGCAAGCCGGGCCCACTGACCCTTCTGGCACGTAAAATGGAGTCAGAAGGAGCGTTCTCTGGAGCAGGTTGGCACCACGCCAGTGGGGCAGGTGAAAGGCAAGACGGAAGTTCTCTGGCAACATCTTTTCCTGGTAGAGGGCCTCCAGAGGGTCTGGTGTCTGCCATCACTCACACAGCCAACACTGCCGGCCACGTGTCCTTTCCCACAATTCCAGGCATTAACCAGGGTATCCCAGGAGCACATTCGGCTCATATTCAACTACCTGTTGGTGTGCGCAAAGCCACTGCAACAGAAGAGAGGCACTCTGAAATAGAACGAGAAAGGGCTCTAGAGCTGGAGCGGCAGAGGAAACTTGAGCAAGAACGAGCAATGGAAGAAGAGCGGGAAAGAGCTGATGTGCTGGAGAGAGAGGAAAGACAGAGGGCACTTGACCAAGAGCGAATGGAACGACAGCAGGCCTTGGAAAGAGAAGAACGCGAGAAAGCTTTGCAGCGGGAGAGAGAACTCACCCTCGAACGAGAGAGACAGGACAGGGAAGTAGCTTTGGCTAGAGAGAGGGAAGAGAGGGAGCGAGCCTTGGCTCAAGAGATGGAGATAGAGAGGCAGAAGGAGCTTGAGAGACAGAGGGCCCTGGAGCAGGAGCGTCAGGAGAGAGAGAGGCGGGAAAGAGAAGAAATGGAGAGGGCAAGGGCCTTGGAGCAGGAGAGGAAGGAGCGAGAGAGGGCGCTTGAGCAGGAAAGGCTTCAGAGAGAGAGAGCTCTGGAGGCTGAGAGAAAGGAAAAGGAGAGGATCGAGCGGGAAAAGGCTCTGGAGCAGGAGAGGTTGGAAAGGGAAAGGTTGGAGAGACAGAGAGCCTTGGACCAAGAGAGACTGGAGAGAGAGAAAGCCTTTGAGCAACAGAGAGTGGAAATGGAGAGAGCCCTGGAGAAGGAGCGACTAGAGAGAGAGAAAGCCCTTGAGAGAGAGCGTTTGGAGAGAGAGAAAGCCTTGGAGCAAGAGAGAATGGAGAGAGAACGAGCTCTAGAACAAGAAAAATTGAAGCAAGAGAGAGCCTTGGAGCAGCAGAGGTTAGAGCTTGAGAGGAAGGAAAAGGAGAGAATTGAGAGGGAGAAATCATTGGAGCGAGAAAGGATAGAGAAGGAAAAGGCCTTGGAACGAGAAAGGGAGGAGAAAGAAAGATTGGCAAGAGAGGCAGCACAGAAAGAGGAGAGGGAGAGAGCTCTGCAGCAGGAGAAGCTTGAGAGGGAGGAGAAAGAGAGGGCTCTGGAACAAGAGAGGCTAGAAAAGGAGAAGGCCATGCAGAAAGAAAAGGAGGAGATGGAGGCCGAGAGAGCTCGGATGGCTGAGAGGGAAAGTCACCTCCCTCCGTCCAAGCGCGGCCGTGACATCGGTCTCACCTCCTTGTCCACTCCTCTCCCCCTTTCTGCTGTACCAGGTAGAAAGTCCTCAACAAAGGGGGGAGAGCAGGAAGATGATCATGCTTCAAAGTCCCGGGTTGAAGCAGACGAACACAGCGCCACCACGTCACCAACGCCTCCGGTGCCTCAATCCTCCTTTAGGAAGTTCCGGTTCTCAAGGGACAGCCCGATTCAGCTGCAATCTTCCTCCCCTTCCATGGTCATCAAGCGACCTCGTAACTTCTCCGATACCCCCCAGCCCCAGGCCTCACCTGGCTCCTCCCTCACCGACAGCGCAAAAAGCCACGAGGAAGGACTCCAGTCCTCCACTGAACAGGAAGGCCCGGAGAAGGTGACAAAGCAGGAGGTCACGGGACACGTGGGGGGCACTCCGGAGGAGGAGACCACACTTGCCCCGGTTTCCGAAAAAGATGGAGCCAAGGGCTCTGTGTCGGAGGACAAGGAAAAGGAATACACCAGAAAAGTGGATGAAAGCCATGCTACAAACCCACTGGACAGCGCACAGCGTAGGGGAAGAGACGCGAAGAAGGAAGAGAAGCAAGCGAGACAAAGATCAACGTCTAATGATTCCTCATCCTCAGAATCCGACTCTGGGTCCTCATCCTCCGGGTCTTCTGGCTCATCCTCGTCCTCTCAAGAGAAGACTATCTCCACTACAAGAGGCAGACGGGTAAGTGGTCTGAAAGGAACTTCTCTCTCTCACTGACATAAAGTGCTTCATCATCATCTTGGAAGTTCATCTTTCACAGAAAAAAAAACTTTCATGCAAAAGTGATTAAAAACAAAATGAACTTGATTCACGCTGAAATAGAGAATTTAACTCTGGTGTGAAGCTTAATTAATTGAAAACCGCACCATAAATTGATTAGGGAGTGTAATAAAGGTTTTTTTAATAAAGTTTTTTTTCCAAACCTCCCCATCCCAGAATATTGACCACGGCAGTCAACCACATGCAATATTCTTCCTTTATTTATCAATAGTTGTTTAACGTAACTCCGATTACACTCTCTGCTGTCTTCTATATACGTCTGCTGTTGGTGCTTTCAATGTCTCTATTTTTGTCTTTTTTTAGGAAGGGGAACCTGACCGAGATATCTCACCACAGCACCAGATGACACGACATGCAAAGGCTGAGGGTTTAAAGGAAACTCATACAGCCTCCCCTTGTAAAAGAGACCCGCCTGTAGAGAAGAGTAAAGCAGCCGCTGATGGAGATACTCCCACAAAGGTCAGTTTCTCATAAGTTAATGTACCACCAGCCTTCATTTTTAAATGGCTGCCACTAAGATTGATCAAAAATTAAGTTGTCATTATTTTTTATTATTTTTTCCCTTTGATGGTGTTACCAGAACTACGCAATTACTTCCACATAAATTATATTATTTCACATTCTCTGCCCTTTTTGAATCTTCAGAAAACAATCATGGACGCGCCAACCAGAGAGGAGTCACAAAGAAAGAGGACAAACAAGGAAGAAGAAATGGACAAAAAAAGGTCTGCCTTTTATGTTTTGGTTGTTGTTTTTTGTTGAGGGAACTGATATGTTTTAACGTGATTATTAGTACAGCTCAAGTCAATATGTATCAATACAATCCTCTTTATAATTAATTTATTTTTATACCTAAAAAAATATCAACAAAGTGCAAGATTTAACTGGTTTGAAGAAGACTACTGTAAAGAAATGTTAATGATTTTCTCTGCTTTTAAAAGATGCCGTATAAGTGCATTCTGCCACTGCCTGTTACGTACTGCCACTCCACCAGAAAGCACATATAATTAGGAATTGAATGAAATAAAATTTGTAAATTAGAATAACCTAATGTCTGCGTGACCAAATAATGACAATGCGGGCAATGACTTTGTCATCTGATAATATTTACTGCATCAGAGACACGGCGTCTATCAAAATACATTAAGGTAATGGTAAAAAGGTGTCATAAGAGATGCCGGGGACTAACTTTCCCATCAGGCGATTGATGAGACTGCCTTGCACCGGTGCGGGTCCTGTTTTTAGACGCGGCCCTTTCCCCCCCCATTCCTTGCGACTGGGCTGTTCTCTGTCGGTGTTTGTAGCTGCTGATGGCGGCATGTTTTCCGTGCGGCAGCCAGCCAGCGGCCGAGGGTCTGTGGTAGCCAGGCGGACAGAATGACCTCGTCCAGAGGAGAGTAGTCGGGGGAGGGAGGGGGAGAGACGGTGGAGACAGGAGAGGCTCGTTGCGACGCAGCCGTTTTAGCACAATGAACGGGCTCTTTCTTTGCCGTGTTGTTCCGCCGCGCTGATATTGTGTCTTAGCGTTTGCGCGCACGAGGGAGCCGTGAGAGCGCGAGGCAGGCGATCAGTATTCATTATTCAGGTACCGAGTCGCCTTCGTTGACTGTCGGCGGGAGCCGGACGTTCTGTGCGGGTCTGAAGGAGCACTGCGTCTGTTTTGACTCCTCCTCGTCTCCGTCCTTTTGAGCCGCACTGAAGAATTAGGAGCAACGTATTTGTGAACTGACAGACTCTGGTCGACAGTGTGAGATGCGCTTAAGGCGCCATTATTTTAGCATCCCTGAGGCATCTCCACTGAGCTGCCAGGGGCTCCGTCAACTTCTGACATTTAGTATTGAATTCTGCCTTTTATTTAAAGGCTCCATGATTTAAATGCAAAATGTCATTTAAGGAACATAGTAGGGTTTTTTTAGGTTTACGAATGGTGTACTTTATGTACCAGTATCAAGTCACTCACATTTTGGATTTATACATCACCTTTTAGTGTATTTGGTATTGGTATATTCAAATAGTTTAATTGCTCCTATTAAAGTTGGACTGTATGCAAGTTCATCTGTTTAGTTTTGATAGATCCTCCCACCATTTTGAAAATAAATGCGCTAAAATTAAAAAAATGTGCTCCTTTCTATTGGACTGCTCATCAGATCCCTCCATTCCTGCTCATATATATTTCTTACACTATTCAGGCAGGTGAAGGAGACTGCCATGGCAGAGGCTGAGAAACTTCCAGAGACCAACGAGGAGGTAAGGCACCGGAAGAACCACCATCATCTTGGTCCTCGAAGCTGTTGAAAGCCCAGAAGGACTTTAGATGGAGTTGAATCTCTGTAGTATAGTTTAATTTACCTGGATAAATCACAGTACATGTAGGTCTATGGATTATGCATCTATACTTTTGTTAATTTAAAATATATTTCCTTGAATTAAGAAGCCATTTTTACAAGTGGTATAATGTGTATAGGAAATTACATGATGGCTGTTTAGTAAAATCCTTTGTTGGCACTGTCATAGGCAGGAACAGCAAGGTCGTTTTCTCACTGTGGCTGATGTTTAAACCCCAAATGATTGCTTTGTTATAAAGGTGCTCATGCCTCTTCCATTGCCCCTATTGGTACCTGCATACTACTACTACTGCTACTGCTGCACCTGTTCCACTGTCCCCAAGAATCCAGAGTTGGCCACAGATAAGCCCCCAAAGCTGCACTGCAGAGGGACTCCCCTGGCAACTATGGCATCCTCATTGTCATGGATATGGCTGGCCAGAACTATTGATTGGACAAGGAGATTCAAAGAAGGGGTTGGCTAGTCAACCTGGGCCACCCCTCCTTAACCTTAATTCACTAATCAGGCGAACAAAGACACGCCGGCATGTGTGCTCACGTCAAGTCAAGGCTGAGGTGACACTCCACCACTGGATAGTTTCCATATGATTTCACTGAGACATTTTTTTTAACCCACTTGCAGAGAAATATGGAGAGTTATTGACATGCCATTTGATATGCGTGGTGAACTGGTACATGCTTCACAAAGGACTTTTGGGAATTTGTTAATCTCTTGGAATTGGATTCGGAATTCTCCAGCAAGTACCCTTCTCGGATAAGACACGAGTTTTCAAAGAGGCAAAGGTTCTACCTGAACTAAATGTGCTTGACTGTTTGAATTTGAAGCGAAGAAGAACGTCCGGTTCCATCGCTGGATTTTTGCTTTTTTATGACTCTCTGTATGAAGTTGCTGTTCCTCAAAGGAGCCTGAATACGAACATCAGAATTTGGCTTTTTTGTGCTCCGTGACTGAGTTCAACATCTGGTCTCCCAACTAATTGGACTCAAATGTCAAGAGCCTGCCACGTTTTTTTTAAAGGACTAATGCCAGAACACCTGAGGATGACAGCATATCCAGAGCATTTCAAAGCCTCATCCAAATGAACTATTGACACCATCGTGCCAGCCAACACGCGTTCAGATTTCCATCCAAACATCTGAGCCACCTTTGATTGGATCCTTGTTGCCTAGATACAGTACATGCAGTCGTGATTGGGCCATATCCAAACCAGTAAGGATCAGGTGTCAGTGGTACCAGGGAATAAGTAGACGTTTACTCAATGTCATATTAGATAGCAGTTCTGAAAATGCTTATTTTACCATCATACCCTGTGTAGTCTTTGGGAAAAGCAGCTCTTTAAAGAAAATAATTTCTTATTTTAGGCCGCTATACAGCTTTCTTATAATCTTAGTGGATTTTCACTTCTGTGAAACTAATTGGAGTTATTGTGGCTCTTAGGAAATAGTTTTAAAGTTACAATAATGTAAACTGCGGCATATACACCAGATCCTTGTTTGTGTGATAGAGACTGCAACTACGGTCTACTATCGAATGATTATGAATGGCACGCGCTTAGTTAGCAGTAGAGTAAGAAGTAGCCCGCTGCCATTTAGTAATTCTTAATTTCAAAAAGACCCCCCTTCCTGTTATTGCTCCACCTGCTCTCCAACCTGTCCTTGACCACTTGTTGTCTGCCTCTCACCTTTCCCTTGTATCGGGTTTTTTTTTTTTTTTTTATCTTCTTGTGTTTCAGACGCCAAAGGCCTTTTCCGCTCGTAAGATCTCTATCAGCAGTAAGTCACCTTCCAACATGCTCTTTACCAGCATTTACTTTATAACATATGAATTCATGGCTTCATTAGACTCATGCTAGAAACAGCGCATTAAAACATCTGAGCTCATGGATTGCGTGATTGTCCTTTAAAAATATATAAAAATATGTCGCCTCGGTAGTTTTGTGATGTCATGTACCCTTGTATGCTATGTACCTATATATGCTATGTACTTGAGGGTAAACTATTTCTTGCCTCGTCATAGGCAGTAAAATGTCCCCAGGCACTGGCAGTGCCGAGGTCGAGCAGGACGCAGGAGCCGCAGCCGGTCGCAAGAGGAGGTGGGGCTCCAGCACAGCCGTCACTGCCAAGAAACCTTCCATCAGTATCACCACCGATTCACTCAAGGTACTTCCAGCATAGTGAGACTGACGGAACTTTGGTTGTTTGTTACGCTCTAGTGGACACATGCTCTGTGAGGCACTTGCGTTGCCTCCGTCCTCTGTGTTGAACATGGCAGGGCCCTTCATCTCAAGCAGTATCTGCCCTTATTGCCCTCAGTCCCTGATCCCAGACATTCGCCAGAGTCTCGGGCAGGAAGCAGTTGTGGACCTGGACCCGGAGCAAGCAGTCCTCTCTGGGCCGGAGGATGAAGAGAAAGAGCGGGCTGACCAAGACCTTCAAATTCAACGTACTGTAACACAGGTTTGTCCACAGCTGTTTAATGTCTTCATGACATCAGGGGTGCCCAAACCTTTTCGGCTTGCAAGCTACTTTACGATCGACCAAGTCACGGTGATCGTACTGGGGACCCCTGTCTTACATGAACAAGATGTTGGTATCAAATATAAGGTGCGTCGTCATGGCGCTCCAAGCTGCGTTGCTACTCGGTTGGACCACAGATTCATTTAAGGCCCAAACAAGCTGCCAGTGGTACCATAGCAACAGGAGAGCAGGGGGAAGCCTCTTATAACACACCGCTTCAACCTTATTAAAAGGACATCCAAAATCCTTCCACTAGCTCACGCTCCATGTACATTCTCTGGTGTGAACACCGTCCCTATATTGCAGGTGGTGCACTTGGAGAGTCAGGAGAATGGAGAGAAGGAGACAAAGAAGAGCAGACATGAGGATTCGGAGGAAGAGGACCCACAGGGAGACGGGGAAAGGACCGGGGCTCCCAGCGACAAAATGGACACCTCGTTCCCTGGAGCCATGGAAACCCAGTCTCCGTCACACACCAGCCATGATGTAGAAAGCAACACTGGTAAGGCATCCATCACAGGATGGTCTTCATTACATTCATCACAAACAATTCACAATATTTGATTTAGAAATTGATTGGGCTTCAAGTTTAATCAATTTCTGAATTTAACAATTACAATTTCTTTCTTTGTTATATTACAAGTGCAGCAACAACAGGAACATCGTCAATGTAGTAATGGATGCGTGATGTTGACTGCTCTTCCTCCTTTATCCTAGTGACCCCCAGCGACACCTTCATCCGTCGCTCCATCAGCCAGCAGAAAACGGGTGTCTCCATCACAATTGATGACCCCGTTCGCTCGGCCCGGAAGCCTTCGCCCCCTCGAGGGAAAGTCTCCAACATTGTTCACATCAGCAACCTGGTGAGAACATGTTGTCCTTAATGCAAGCTGTACTTTAAGTATGAACACTTGATAATGGTGTTGACCAAGGGAATCGAGGTGAAACAAGGTGGTGTACTGGTGCTAACGGAGCTGCAGCCTTTCTATTAAACCTGTGTGCTTCTTTAATGGGCTTAACCACCATTGTTGCTGGTATGTTTCATGTATACAGGATATTTTGGGGTATTTATTTTTGCGCACACCATCATAAATAGTTTGAAGCAGTCACAATACTCTTGATTTGGTGTTTAGGTGAGACCGTTCACCCTGGGGCAGCTTAAGGAGCTGCTCAGCAGAACCGGCACCCTGTTGGAGGAGGGCTTCTGGATAGACAAAATCAAGTCTCACTGCTTTGTCACCGTAAGTGACCTGAACCTCAACCTGAACCAGACATCTTTTTGCCTATCGGAGGTTCTTTGCTGTCTAACCGAGCTCCCCTCTGTGTCTAGTACTGTAGCCCAGAGGAGGCCGTTGCCACACGGGCATCTCTTCATGGGGTGAAATGGCCTCAGAGCAACCCAAAAGTCCTCCGTGTGGACTTCTGCCAGAAGGATGAGGTAAGACCTTTCTGTTATTATGTTTTTCTCTTTCCTCCACAATTCTTTGGATATCTGTAGCCTGAGCCAAATCTCTGCTCTGTAGCTGGACTTCCACAAAGGCTTGGCAGACAGGCCCGCGGCAGAGGACCAGGGGCCCGGAGCCGCCCGCGGGCGACCTCCGGGCCTGCCCTCCCTCCTCCCTGAGCGCGACCAGTGGGCTGAGCGCGAGCGGGAGATGGAGCGCCGGGAGAAGGGGAGAGCTGAGCGGGAGTGGGATCGCGACAAGGTCCGAGAATTTGGGAAACCGGGTGAAGAGAAGGAGGGAGGTCCTCCCAGGTCACACTCCAGGGAGAGACGCCGCAAGGAGCGGGGAAAAAGCAAGGAGAAGAAGACCGAGAAGAAAGGTAAGAGATCCAGCCGTGAGGTCGAACTGATTTTACATCGTTTTCTGACACGTTGGTAGCAAATCAATTAAAATAAAAAGGATCCATATTAAATAAAAATGTGAGCCTTTGTCACAGCCCTAACATTGTTTGCTATTGGCAGAGAAACCAGCCGAGGATCCCCCTGCAAAGCTGCTTGATGATTTGTTCCGCAAAACTAAAGCGGCTCCTTGCATATACTGGCTTCCACTTACGGATGAAGAGGTGAGACACAGACCCGTCCGCACTTTGCCGGCTGCTTTTGATGCATCACTTTCAAGTACATAACCAAACTCACGCTGCCTGCGTTGCCTTGATTTCAGTTTGTTCAGCGGGAAGCTGCCCGCGCAGACCGGATGAAGGAGCGGGAGAAACGGAGGAAGGAGCAGGATGAGGAGAAGGAGAAGAAAAGGGAAGAGGAGCGCAAGGAAAGGATGAAGGCTGGAGGTGTGCCAACTGGAGAGCGCAGTGAGGGGGAGAAAGACAGGGACAGAGAGAGGGACAGAGACCGAGGGAGGGACAGGGAGCGGGAGAATGACAAACGCAGGGATGGCTACCGTAGACCAGAGGGCCGCGGGGAAGACGGGGGGCGCCGCTCTCGCAGCCGCAGCGACCCGCGAGAAAGGCGGCGTTAATGGCCAACCGCCCGATGGAACTGTCCTAGAGACTCCCTCTTCCGTTTGCCTTTCACTACATGTACTTTCTTACAACTAAGACCCAACCGAGGACCAACTGACGTTGTCGCCATCTCTCAAATTGTCACCTTTTTTAAGCACATCTACACCTACAGTCTTGCTTAAAAGGGACCATGATCTCTTTGCTGCGCTGTTTCCCAGAGTGCTGTACGACACGCGTCAGTCGAGTATTGATATATTTTCTTATGTTTGTTTTTTTTGTTGTTTTTGCGGTGTGGCACCCCCCTTTGCTCCAAAGTGTAGGTGCCAATTATGATTTGCTATGACCAGTTGTCGCCTCGGTGTTTCAACAGCTGTGGAATCGAGATGAGGAATCCTTTTGTTGCTGCATGTAGTCCAAGGCTCTCCTTGCCAGTCCTGCCTAAAGAGAAGACCTCTGTGCAGAGGCTTGCATAAATCAGAAAATATTGGAAGAGGTGTGTTTGGCATTTTGTACAGACATATAACATAACTCGAAATCAAGTCTTTAAGTGAGGCAGCTCTGGGGTATTTTGGACAGGTGTGGAATAACTACTAACGCAATGAAGTGTTCCTCCCTCCCCCTGTCCCCTGTTTAGTAAAGAGATGAGACTCTTCTCGTTGGTGTCCAGGCCCGTCACATCTGACACAAGTTATTATCATGTTCTTATCATTGATTCTCTTCTTCCTCCTTTCCTGTCCTTCCTCCCCTTCTCTTACCCGGCAATATCGATACAGGCCCAAGAGAGGGGGGGGTGCATTATGAGTTACCAATGGTTTTAATATTGTTTTTTAATCTTTAATTTTATCTTCGTATAAAGGTATGTTTTTCTTTTCTTTCTTTTTTAATTTCTTCTTTGAGTACGCCTATCAGTGGTGAATGTACAAATAATAAAAAATTGACATTTGAAATGACTGATGTTTTCTTTTCCATTCTCCCTGCTGACAGATTTAGTCTTTTAGGTTCTTGCGTAGGTTCTGCGGTTGCAAACATGTGACAATAGTCCAATTTAGAGAATTTGTTTAATCGTGGTATACGCTTAGAATCCACAAGGTGTCAGTCACACCATAATGTGAACCAGGTCAGGCATTTGACACAAGGAGATTCACTTAATGCAGAGAACTCTGCTTACAAAGGAGGAGGATGCATTAGTACGGTTACACAGGTCTCTGATAGCAAATTACCTTTTCATCCATGCTTGACCTCTTTTCATTTATTCAACGTTCATCCTTCTGTTTTCATCTAAGGAGAGTTAACGTCTGTACCCTACACTCCTGTTATGGCCACTCTGCTCCTGCGACTGCATCTGCCCTGTGTTCCCTCGTTTCACCCCGCAGAGCAGAGCTCAGCACTGCTCCTATATAATTACAGCCACGGTCGCTGAGCACAACATTTTTCTGCCCTGATGCAACGCTGTGCGTCTGGACTTGGGAGGACCAGCAAATCCTTCATTTCCATCTGAGGCCGCCTGCTTGGTATGAGAGCACTGCAGAAAGATTAGTCTGTAATCAAGTCTGTAAAAATGCTGTTTATCGTGTGTGTGAGAGACAGAGACACTTTGGAGGGTTTTAGAGCGCTTTAGAACAAGAGGAAATTTCGGACAAAGTTCAAAGATATTCTGTTGAGTGTGTTAAACAAGATAAAAAACATTTAGATACAAATCAGATGTTATGGCAAACCTTTTTCACATCTTGCACACAGTTTATTTTTAAGGATTCATTTGAAAACTACTGGACTACAAATAAATTGCAGTCGAGCTGTGTCATTTTACATTTTCTTTTTGTCCTTTTGCCGTTTGCTGCTGTCCAAGTAAAGCCTGTTTGATTTATCAGAGCTTGTTTTTGCCCAAAAATGTTGCAACCGGAAGCCCGGACAAACCACGCACAAAAGTTGTTTACTCCAACTTATTTTTAACTTTGGCGGTCAAGGAGGACTAGACAACAACGACGAGTTCTGCTGGTAGACCAGCCCAAACAATTTGAACAGCAGTTTGCTGACCATTTGTTCTGTTTATTTGAAAGCACGGAGCCTGAGGACAAACTACAGAAACGCCAAGTAAGTTTTAAATTGGAACTTTGAACACACAAGGACGTCCGGCTGCAGTTTAAACATTTTAACCAGCAAGTCCTCCACCGGCCCAGATCTGGGCAAAGCCAGATTTGGCAATGATGAACAGCTGCACAGCCCCGGTGAAGAGAAAAGATGAAACCATGTCTTTTTCTTTTTTATTCAGAACCACTAGTGGCCACACAGCAGAGCCCGTGTGTCCGGTGTGGAGCTCGGGTCGACGGCCTCCCTGAGCGGCCAGTCAGCTGAGCACAGCCACTCTCACACTGACGAATGGGCAGTAAAACATATGTTTTGTCGGGTAAGCAACTCTCCCCCCCCCCCCCCCCCCTCTTTCAGTCCTCCTCTCCCCGTCCTTGTGATGACATGTAGTGCTTACGGAAACCAGATGTGACTTGTTGCGCTGGAAGGGGCGAGAGAAGAAAAAGAAAAAAAACATCCATAAAGTTGTGTGAAACTTCATGAAAACACTGCAGGAAATCAGGCGGGGTGGGGCACTGATGCTGCTTCTCTCCTGTGGTCTTCAGAGTTTAGATAGTGACTATATGCTTCGTTGCCAGGTGAAATGCACCCACAATCCTGACCAGGGCCCTGAGCAAAGCAGGGGGGGTTTCCTTATGACTGTGTCAGGCTGAGTGTAGTCTGAATCAGCATCTCCTGTGATGCTGTTTTTACGCAGGGCTTGGGAAGCCACATCACATGAGACGGCTGCGAAGAAAATGCAACCTAAAGAAGTTGAAATGTTGATTGTTCGACTTCCTTGCACCTGTATTTTTTTGTCGCCCACACAATGCCTTCCCGGCATTTTAGAGAGGCCGCTCCCACGGCACCACGCCCGCTTCTAAGTGCAGACATTGTGTTGAGTGTAACAAAAGCCGGCACGTAGCTTTAAACTGATTTTAAGCTTTAAGCGGATTCAGCACTTGGGGGTTCCGATGTCAGCAAAAAACTGCATTGCTCAAAAAACAGATCATCAACCACACAGCCAGTTAACACATTCGGGAAACAGATTGGGAAATATCAATGAGGAAACTTATTTTCCATGCATAGCCCCAAGGGGAGCTAGAAGGAATATGTATTATGTATTGATCCCACTCTTTCACAGGCCGCGAACACCACTACTAAACCAAATAACTACCCTTATGTGAGAGTGTGTAGGACTCTTTAAATGTCAACATTTATTTCCCATTATGAACTGTTAATACACGGTTAACATTTTCTCAGCATTCCGACATGTCCTAGCTTTAGTGTAACAGATAACTTTAAACATGCTCCTGGCATTGTGCTTGCTTTACTCGGGCCAATCAATGGATGTGCGTATGCCAGCACTTCCATGTCCAAAATAAATTGTTAGTTTTTAATTTGTCAAAACATCTAAATACATTTTTATTATCATTTCAACTTTCCACAAAAATTCGGAATGATCGTTAAATCACCTGGGCACTGTGGGGCTTAAACTTTGAGCTTAATGCTAATGTTAGCACGCTAACAGGTTCAAAATGTTAGCAGCGTTTAACAGTCACAGTGAGTCTTAACAGAATAGAAAAACCCTTTTCCTGCTTGCTGCATTGGTTCAGGAAGTAGCATAGCTTTAACTGATGCAAATGAAAACCATGTGTAACCTATTAAGCCACTCTCCAGATCCCTTAAGAAATGCTCTCTGTCCTCCGTCTCACGTCCTTGTTGCCGGACAGAATGCAACACTGACCATTGTCGATTTGTCATTTGGTCTCATTTAACGGGAATGGCTTCTCTCTGTGGTTGGTCCTGCGTGATACTCGGGTCGGCTATTATGAGACACAATGGCCAAGAGCGGGACTTCCCCTATTTGGAAGTTTCCGCTGGCTGGCTTTGCAGGCCATACACATGCCAACCCTAAACAGGCACAGGAAGTATCCAGCGCAGAGACAGAAACATAAAAGGAGCCTGCTAATAATGTCTGCTGAGTAGGGCTCGATGCAGACGGATGAGATTATTGGATTAGATGTCCGGCACAAAAGAATGGGGAGGGGTAGGGGGGGGCGACGGGACGAGTCTGTTTCTATCACTGCTTTTGTGGGAATTGAACATAAATTACCTTTTTCGTTTATCTGGGTGAAATGCGAGAGCCCGAGTGGAGGCGGCTGAAAGCGGCCCGGGCCGAGTGTGTGTTGTGCTCTTTTGTTGGAGTTGAGGAGTGAGGAGTGAGTCATTTTCCAGACAGTAAAGACAAGTTCTCAAGTTACACAGAGAGAAGAGAAGAGAGAGCGGTGCGGGGAAGACATGTGCTGAGGCAAAAAAATGTCCTCGCTCTGCAGAATCAACTGGGGAAAAGATCAAAATCGTGACCCATTGCTGGATGTCTGACTTGCATTTTGTGTGAGGGCCGCGGAGAGTTAAACATTGTGCAGTAAAGATGCTTGCTAAAACCTCTTGAGTCTTTGCGTATCCGTTATTGTGACCAGGTGTGAAATAAAAAAAAAAAAGCCAATTAAACATATCCAAACCAACCCCCATTCCACGTCCTGCTGTGTGCCCGGCCTACATGATGCAGTTGGAATTCCAGATGTTGCTCATGGAATTGTGCTCCATCTCTGGCATCCAAATGTGACTTAACCCTCCTTACTCCTCCCTTATCTCCTCCCCCCACAAAAAGCCTCGTGACTTCTCTCTCCAGCCCTCAGTTCCACAAGACTGCAGAAAAGTGGAGACAAATGGGCGCCCTAAGCCTTTTGGGCACAACAGGAAAATCATTACATATAACTTTCATTGCATAGAGCCTCATTGCTGTAATCATAATGTATCATAGAGGCGACGGCTCCCACCCACTCTTTCCCTTGCAGTCAGTCATCTTTTCAGCGGGTATAATTTCTGTATGGTATTTGTTCATTAGTGGGATCATTAAAGAGTGTGGAGACGCCCAAGTTTGCTGTTTGGGCTTTTATTGGCCCATGGTTGATGGGAGTGTACATATACAAAGTGCATAATGCAAAAGAACAGGCGTTTATAGCTGTGTAACACATCCATGAGGGCCTGCTGGAAATGCTGCTCTTGTGAGGACCTTGTGAGAACACATTCACATGCCAAGCCTGTCATGGAATATGAAACCTCGCCTATGCTTATCAAACCCTAGATCCAAACACACATGTGGTCCACCTTTCTCATCCACCTTCTTTGCTCCTCGTAAGTAAGGACAATGGTTAGACCCCCACCCCCTCCCTCCCTCCCCTCACACACACCCTGTCTTTTTTACAACGACTTTTCGCAGTCCTCCTCATCCCTGTTTCTACTTAAGCTTTGGATCCAGTCCGCGTTTTCCGACCCAGATTCAGGCCTGCCAGTTTCCGAGCCCCCGTCAATACGAGTGATGCAGTCGGGGATCAAGAAACCTGGAGGTCCAGGAAGACATGGTGAAGACCAGACGGGTGAGATCAACATGAGAGCATAAGGCAAAGAGTACAGGCAAGAGCGGGATTATATGAAAGCAGTTGAAACATAGGTGGAAATTTTGCTGCATTAATGGGATTGAGTGGCTCCATTCTGCAGAAAACATTTTCTGCAGAATTGTTTACTTATTGAAAATCAAAGCACAGAAAGCCTTTGAAAATTGTTTTATTTTGTAAGAGAGGCTTAAAAATATTAGTAAGGACACACACACACAATCTCCTTAAGAAAGCTAGGTCATTATCAGTAGAACTATTATAATTATGGTTGTTGACTACCTATAACGTTGACTGGTAATGTAGCACAATGATTTCAAAACTGTAATCAAGTACAATGACAAAAAAGAATCATTTTCAGATCTGAATTTATTTCATTTAAGGTTGATTCAAGGTAAAAAAAAAAAAAAATCAAGAATACATAA